TCCTTTCAAACCCTACTTCGCGACTCGCTCAGCCATGTAGGAGGCAAAAACTACTGCTACTACTACTACTACTACTACTACTACTACTATTACCACTACTACTACTACTACTACTACTACTACTACACTTTTCCTGCTGCTGCTGGAGCTGCAGCTGCTGCTGCTCCTCCTCCTCCTACTCACCTACTCCTACTCCTGCCACTGCCGCTGCCACTGCCACTGCCACTGCACGGCTACTGCTGCTTCCTTGGTCATTATAAACAGTACCACCACTACCACTCGTCCTTACTCCTGCTGCACCGCCTCCTGCTGCTGCTGGGGTGGCTTTATTCGTAAGCCTCCTTTACGGAACAACAGCAGACGATCGTCTGACCGTCTTTAGCAAAGAGCGGTTTTGCGCTGCAGATTGATGCTCGCTGCAGAGCTGCTGTGGACGCACCTGTAGGGCGCACGAGACAGAGCTCCGCATTGACGTGCTTCTGAAACGAAGAGTCATCGGAAAAAGCCCGTTTTCTCGCCTTGATGACTGTGAGGTTTGGATCCACCTCCGCGGCGAAGACTTAGGCCACTCCGATTACAAGTTCTCCAGCTCCCAGCGTGTTCACTTCGTTGCTGAGGCGCGAACTTGCTGCACGTGATGTTTTCCAGGGTTGAAAATGTGAAAGCATGTAGCACCGTGCGCAATGTTTTGAATGTTGGCACAGGCCGACGACAGTGTCGTGCCGAAGCTCAAGGAAGCGCTTGAAAGAAGGACCGAGCGTTTCAGCCTTGCTGCGTCTCATGCTGCGTCTGCGCGTGCTCCCATACAAGGCATATGCAGGTCAGCAGGTGAAGTAGAGCCCAGCCTTGTCTGCTACTGTCCGGAGGCTTCATGATATCCACGACAACATAATCCAGACCCTGAAAGAGCGACTTGGAGAGATGAGCGCGAGCCAGGGTGCTCGTGAAGAATTTGCAGAGCGGCATGTGGACAGGCAGTGTCGGTGTCCTGCTGCCATCCAAGGAAGGGTGGTGGTCGAAGAGACCGAGATCGGGGCCGGGAATTTGAAGATCCATGGATGCAGGCGGCGCATCCTCCGCCGGCAGCCTGGTGGGGCCACCCGCCCCCTCACCCTGACCCTTGGGGCGCCCCACCTCCCTGGGGTCCACCGCCACCCGGATGGTAGCCTAGCTGTTGACGTCTTTAGTCGGCCGATTGGAGACTTCACATGGCCGCCTCCCGGGACAAAAGGGCTCTTTGGGAGGTCAAGCCGGACTGTTGCAAGTCAGAGTATTGAGCGTTAATGGAGCTTGTCCTTCTGGGCCTCCAAGTGGTCGACGTCGGGTGTTTATGGAAGCAGGTGTGCCATGCCTCTCCGCTGTGATGCGATCAATGAAAAAAGATGCCGCTGCCCGCATGGCCTTCACTCGTCTTGCCTGCCGTGCTGACAGTCTATGTAGAGGATCCATTCCGAGGTGGGCAAACAGAACGAAGCCCTGGAGACTTTGCACCATGCAATCCTGCACAAGCGCTGGAAGAACCAGTGGCCACCTCCTGAGATCGGTGGCCGACCGGGATGCGCATAAATGGTCAGCGGAAAATGTGGGAAACAGGTCTCCAACCCTGGAGAAGATTATTGAGCGCCACTTGCAGCTGTGCCACCGCCTCAGTTCCGGCTCAGCCAGGAGATGAGATACGGAGAATAGATCCGATCGCAAAAATGCGGATATCAATCAGCGAGGCGTCGAGCTTCAGAAGATGCGTTTTGCAAGAGAAGGCGTGGAGGGGCTCGCATTTTTTCGAGCTCTTGTGGCTGGCGGCACGTGTAGTTAGGAGGCAGCGTTGAGAACTGCAGGGTCGGAGTTTTCGTCGAATGGGCCTTCGTGAGCAAAGCGCATGCCGCATGCCGGTCTTGTTCAGGTCTCCACCAATACCGCGCGACATGCCAAGCTGCGAACATCCAATCGCTGGAACAGGCAGCTCCTTCAGGAAGGTTAGCTTGGCGTTCTTGATTGAAAGACCATGTGTTTGGTCTGGAGTTTCACCACCAGCCCAACATACTAAATATCGAGATGCTTACACTGGAACATGAGATCGTGCAGGTCGTCCGAGTTTTCCGCAGGGCCGCAGAAGAGAAGGCTCGTGCACAAGATGTTTTCTGTCATATGAACAGCAGACATGTTACATCGCTGTGCGTGCTTCCGGGTCAACGTGCAGGTGAACCAGGCCAAGAAGGAACAGGACGGCAGCTTCAGCTTGCATTCGGACGCCGAAGCCATTCACATTTCACGAGGAGTCTCTTCGACAGATGTCGCACGCGTGTGCACGTAATGGTGTTTAACATTGTGCAGAGCAGGCCGTAATTCTCCCATGGCGTAGTGGCCCTGCAGCCCTCGACTGGCTCTCCTGCGTCCTTTGGTGCCCTTTGTCACCCTGCTCTGCAGAAGGCATCGAAGAAACAGTGCGTTCGTGGCAGGATGTAAGGCTTGGTAAGGTGGCCGACTTGGAGGAAATGGATGCGTCCCGGGCCGAGCTGATCTCTCGACCTGGCGTGTCGAGGTTCTTTGTCCCCTGAATGCTTTGTCAACGAGGAAGTCACGATTTCGGTGACAGAAAGTAAATCAGACTCGGAGCGGGGGGTTTGGATTAGGGGAACTTTCAGTGGTGCTGGCTCAAGTACGCGGGCGGTGCAAACTCAAGGAGTTCAGCTTCTTGACTAGCTTTTTGCAGCCATGATCCGTGCCCTGCTCTTCCTGGCTTCCTGCAGTGCTGCGGTGGCCTTCGTCCCCCCAGCGCAGCAGAGCAGCGTGAAGTTCCAGGCGCCGGCTGCACGAGCTCAGGAGAAGGTCGACGAGGCCTCCGGCCCCTTCTCTTCCGTCGTCTTCGGTGCCAGCGTTGGCTACGCCGCCGCTGCCGTCGGCGCCGCAGCCCGCCAGGGCCGCGTGACACGCTT